AAATTTACCACATAATTCAAGAACTGCCACATAATTTCATGAAACTACAAGAAATTTGTATGTAATCATAGCAGATTTTAAATGAACAAAAAACAAATCAAAATGGACAGGCAAGACGATACATAAACAAAATTTTCATGTAATTATAACAGAATTTATAATTATGAAAAGAAAATACCAAAAACGATCTGCAAAATGAACAGAGGAGATGATGCATAAATGAAATTCCTATGTAAATAAAGCAGAATTAATATAAAAATTAACCATAAAAACTGGAAAGGGGAGATAATGCATAAACATAACACATCCAATGCAAGCTGTGATTAAGGCTCAGAATGTGATGGTAGTAAAATTCTGTCTTTTATTGCATTGTTCATTTTTGGTGCTTCGTGTATTACAGGTGTGGATGCTGGCAAGTATGCACGTGGCTGCGGGGCATTGTGATGAGAACCCGTATAGTAGCCAGCATTTGACCGTTCTGGAGTCTCGGTAGCATACTGAAAATTGATAAAATATATACTGTACATGTGTTAAAATATATACGGTACATTGTGTTAAAATATATACGGTACATGTATTAAAATATATACGGTACATGTGTTAAAATATATACGGTACATGTGTTAAAATATATACGGTACATGTATTTCAATCACTAAATTTAAAGTTAATAAAGCGATATATAAAGATCTGATGCCTGTACTTTACAAAATTGTTTGAATTTTAAATAGAATAATTCAAAATACCTGTATGAAAGAATTATGCTTGTAAATCTCTTAAGAGTGAATGGCACATGCAAGAAATTGTTGCTAAACGATTCAAGCCAAAGTTAAAATAGAAAAACAAGAACGTGTTTGTTAAACACAAATGCCCCCGGCTCAGATTCTTGTCAGTAGCAATACTTCATAAATGTTTACCCATTCACTCAGTTATGGACAGAAAAATCACCAAAAAATTGTAAACACAAGTTTTATAGCTTGACAAAGTCATGGCATTTTGTAATTGTGAAAAATATAAGTTGCCAAGTCATTGCTCTGACTTGTGAAGTTGAAAAATATTCAACTTCATGCAAGTTATCTTCCTACCAAATACGAAATACATCTGTCATTAAATAAAGGCTGTATGGGCAAAAGTGTAAAAATCTATTTTGAGCACTGGTGACCTTGACCAAACTGACCCCTAACTCTATCCAAAAGAAGAATACCATGTAAGTTATCTTCCTACCAAATATGAAATAAATCTGTCAATAAATAAAGGCTGTATGGGCAAAAGTGTAAAAATCTATTTTTAGCACTTGTGACATTGACCCAACTGACCCCTTACTCCATCCAAAGGAAGAATACCATGCAAGTTATCTTCCTACCAAATATGAAATACAACTGTCAATAAATAAAAGTTGTATGGGCAAAAGTGTAAGAATCTATTTTTAGCACAAGTGACTTTGACCCACTGATTCCTATCCCAATCAAAAGGATGAATACCATGCAAGTTATCTTCCTACCGAATATAAAATATATCTGTCACTTAATAAAGGCTGTATGAGCAAATGTGTAAAAATCTATTTTTAGCACTGGTGACCTTGACCCAACTGACCACTAACTCCATCAAAGTTTATGTTTCTATCAATTATAAATAACATCTGTCTATAGAATAAGGTCAATACACCTGTAAAAATGTAAAAATCTATTTTTAACATTGGTGACCTTGACATTGGTAACATTGACCTTGACCCAAATGACCCCATACTACACCCAAAGAAGGAGGTGTTTGTATTAAACTAAGACATTAACTAAAAAATAAAGGCTGTATGAGCAAAAAGGTTTATATTTATTTTTTAAACCAGTGACCTTGACCTTGACCCTAGAGACCCCTTACTCTAAAAAAAATTAGAGAACCATCAAAGGTATCCACCTACTAAATATGAAAGATATCAGTAAAGAAATTAAGCAATTAGGAGAAATTTAAGATAAATCCAACTTTGCCGAAATAGGTTAACCAGACAAGGCCCTATTTTCAAAGTGAAAAAAGGGAAATAACTGGGAAATATGGATGACACAGTTATATAACTTGGCAATATCATGTGCTTTGTATTGATAAGTAAGTGTGGAAATTATAAAGCCATTAGTATAGATAGAACTTAAGATATTTCCAACTTGCCATTTTAGGTTAACCATTATTCATTTTCTAAGTGCTGAAAAGGGCAATAACTTAGTAAATATGAAAGCCAGAGTTATGAAACTTGCCCAGATCGTGTACTTTGTATTGATTAGTAAGTGTGTAAACTTAGAAGCCATTGGTACAGGTAGAACTTAAGAAAAATCCAACTTGCCGTTCTAGGTTAACCTCGTACGGACAGACGGACGGACGGAGGGACGGACGGACGGTTCAATCACTATATGCCCGGGGGCATAATAATATTATATTCTGAACGTTTTATTCAATTTACATACAATATTTATGTGTGTAACATAACAAAAACAATTCTTTGGTGAGTCAACTATAAGCTTACAGAAACAAGTTATTTTACCATTTATAGCTTTTATAGAAATGTTTCAATATTAAAAAAATACAATAAAATATTAAATGCCTCAAAATTAAAGATTTGAATAGAAAGATATGCCACGATCATTAAAATGAATTTTTTTTATAGCATGCTTTTAATATGGATTTTTATATATACATAATGAACACAGTATACTTACAATATTTGTTCAGCAACTATGTCAAACATTTTGTGAAATTTACTTAAAAGCTTTTTGACAAAGTTTTTCAATTAAGATGCCTGGATCACGAGTTTAAGCCGTTCTGAAGACGTAACCAATTGTTTCCTTATTAATTACACCAGTACTGATAAGTTTCCAAAGCTAAAACTTGCAAATTGGTACAATTGTACAGCACACTTTTGAAATATGTTTTTTTAAACTCATGGTAATAATCAGAATGTATTTAATATCTAGAATTACCTGTATAGCATTTGCATGGTAAGCACTTTTTGTAGGTGACATAAATGGTGGTTCATGGCCCCTTGACTCCTGGATACCCTGAGCTGTTCTCCATGACATATCTTGTAAACCTGGTGGAAAACATAAATATACTTCAATAATTTAAATAAATACTCAAAATTCTAACATGTGAGACTTATGTACAGCTAGCCCATGTTAATAATATTGAGGAAGACCAAATGTACCAGAGTAGTAACCAATCCTTAATCTAGACACAGGATTTTTCTTACATGAAGGAATTCAGCAGAGACACCAAATCCAGGGATTAAGATCAAGGTGAAGGTCAATGTGACCTCATAAAAACCTTCAATATCATGGTCAAAGAGGTACCCAACTAGTTCATTTCAGAATATATTAAACTTTATGATTTTCTAATGATCACCTTACATTTATGGTGTAATTCTAAAAATAAATGGATTAACATGATACTTACTAGGATTTGGAGCATCTGGGAGCTCATCTTGTGTAGCTTTAGTGGTTATTTAGAAGGGGTTTTTCTGAAACCTGTGTGCTAGAGTCTGGGGGGGGTCAGTGGGATCTCCCCTCGCCGTCGCCACCCCACCTTGATGTTTTTAACACCAGAAAGGTGGGTCCTCATCATACCTTACGAGATTAGTACCTGGTTCTGGAAGCCTTGGGTCATCAAGAATTGTCCCTGCCGGTACCATAGACATGTCATTTGGTCCCGGTCTTCTATTTGAATTTTGGTTATAAGGAGTGGATGTATAATTCGGGGCAAGGTTATCCCTCATGCTGTCATCACTTTGACTGTGGGTTGTCATGGCAAAGGCCATTTTGTGTTGACCATTAGGATTTGCTTCGACATACCACTGGGCTTGACCGGCCTGCTGATATGGCATGCCAGGTGGATACCCAGGCATATTTGGTTGGTAAGGTCCCATTGGATATCTGGATCAAATGGTACGGCAGGTTGATAGTTGCCTTGGTAACCAGGCTGGTACTGATGTGCCGCATCCTGGCCCTGTTCATCATCTGAGAATATTGGAGCATAAAGCTCTGGTGGCACTTCATCATACGTCAACATTGTTAGATTTTGAATCAGGGGATTTGGATACATCGTCCTCATTATTCTCTTTACTTGACTTCTTGCTTTTTCTAGGTGATTTTGGAGATTTTCTCTCCTTAGAACTTTTTCTCTTCTTTTTCTTAGGTTTTGGGGAAGAGTGAGCATCTGGGCCAGTCATCTCACCATCAGTTTGTTTGTTTAATGCAGCACTACTACTAAATTCCGAGGATTCCTCTTGAGTTTCCTTACCTGACAAACCCTGACCATCACTATCTGTTTGATTCTCAGACTTTTGCCGTCTTAAGCTCACACGCTTTATAGCCGATTGAAGCTCCGATGCAAAATCCTGAGTTTTTGGTTTTGAATCATTTTCACTGTCACCAGCGAGTTTTTTAACATGTTCATAATCATACATATAACCTTCTTTATCTGGATTTACAAAAACACCTGAGGAATTTCTCTTCTTATCTCCATCATTATCAGCACCAAAACTACCTTTGCCCCTCAATAACCTTTGACCAGAGGTTAAATTTGTTTCTCGCTCAAGGTCATTAATTGTATGATATGTGTCTTTATTATTGTCAAAATTTTGATTTTTGTCTGGTGGTCGAATTTCATTACGACCTCTAATCCTTGTAGTAGGTGAATTAGACAACTGATTGGGGTCAAGTCTCTGAAAACTTTTTGTATTATTATCCCTTCTATTATTATCATATGGTGACGAAACACCTTTGTCACCAATAAAATTGTTCCTTCCAATTGGTCTAATATTATCTTTCTTTGTATTATTTGTATTAACACTAGTCAATGACTCCCAAATTCTCGAATCATCCAAGTCAAAATTGCTTCTTGAGTCAATATTTTTCCCCTCTGTATTATGCCATGCCACAAATCCTCCATTTTTGGAGGCAGCAGTATCGAGGGCATCTGATCGAGATAAGTTTTCTGTGCTAGCTTTAACAGTGGGCGCAGGATAGTCGTAAGGATTCAGGCCTGGTAGTCGACCATTTTTGTAGCACCAGCCGAGAAGAATGGCTGCAGCTATTATTACAATTACACCAAGAACAATACCAATAATAGCTCCAGCGGGGAATTTATATGTTCCGATATACTCATCGGCACCCTCACTGTCATCTGTGGGGAAAATATAAAGGATTATGAATAAGTGTAAGTTCAATATTGAAGTTGAATAAAAATCAAATTATGCAAGCCTCTGGCTCAATGAATTAAATAAATTTTGTAACAAACCTATATCAATATAATATTCTATTTATCACATAACTAAACTATTTACAGTAAAAATAATATTTTTTCACTGATGCATATAATAAGTCACAGTTACATTTTAAAAGTGATTTTATGCTTTGTTTATATTACACAAATGAAGTCATGTTGCATAGTTATTTCACTAGTGTAATATTGTTTTTATTGAATGGCTTAAATTACATTTCTGCACAATGATTTATGTGATGCATAGTCTAGTATATATAAGAGAACAATATCAATAAAGTTCATAATTTGTTTCTTTTGTAAATCATGGATTAGTTTCAAGTTAAACAATATTTTCAGTTTTTTACTATTCCTAACATTTACTCAAAAGCAAAACTGTTCTCTATATGATAATAGAAAATATACCAGTTGCAAAGAGAAATAAGGATACTTTCTTTATAATGCTCATTTAAAAATTAGATAAGATATAATGTTGTACAAGAAAGTTTTGTTCGCTTGTTTGTTTTTACATGTTTGGTTTCACGTTGCACCAACACAGTTTATGTCACATGGTGTCAAAATACAAGAAAGTAAAACTTTAACTAATGATATATGCTGATGCCTTCACCAGGTGAGCAGGATAGCCCCAACATGTTTTGAATAGTCAAGCTAAAATAACAAGCTTGTGAGGAAGAATTTAACCACAATTTGAAGATCTAATCAAACTTACAGTAAAGCTGTATTTTGAGCTGGAAATCACTCCCGAAGAAATATTGGTTCTGAGTTCGAGTCAACAAGAGAGACATTGCCCTGTCCTTTGAATAGAACTGTGCAGTAGAGGTTGTTGAACCGCAGCCCAATACTCGCTGAAATGACATACAATAATTATCATTTACTGAACATGGCATTATTCCCTTCTGTAACTGGAGATAATCCTGCACATTACAATAATAAAACTGTTTCTTTCTGTTGTTTAAGCTGAAATGATAACAGCTTTCCTAGTATTGGTTCCCCTTAACAATTTGGACCAATATTACTCTTTCTTCTAAAATAACATGAAGTTAATTATGATACGGGACTTCTATGACAGTTTCATTAAAGCTGTTTACTTAAAATAATATAATATTCCTCAACACCTTTGTGTTTGAGCCTTTCTCCAGACTAAAAGGAAGCTTTCCAATAACTATCTGTGACATCCTTAAGACTCTTATTATATTAACAGTGGCAACCTGGATCTTTTCCCACAGTACTGCTTACAATTTGCTATAATTTTGATATAATCTGTAAAGGGACTATAGAAAACTATATTGTAAGAACTCAAGGATTAAATGAGAACTAAATATTTCTAACCAGGTAATTGCCACCAGTGCCCTTGCCATCAAATATACGCAGTTGAAGCCCGCAGTCACGAAATGAAGCCGCTTCTACCACAATTTCAAACTTGTAGTTCGAACTCGCTTGACTGGACTCAAAGTACACGACACAGTTTGTTGTAGGGTTAGATACACCAACTGTTCCTCGTGGTTTTACACGAAACACTTCTCGATCACCTGCCGCAAATGTTTTACCGCATGCTGTAGGGGAATCCATAAACACTGAAAAATATTATTTCTTGTATGAAGTTGTGTTTTATGATAATTTGATTATGCAAAATGAAATGTTACAAGTTTGAAGAACATATTAAGAATATAAACCAACAAGCCAAACAGATATTTAGTAATGTATAGTTTATTTATTATTTATAGTTTTTGAAGTACAAAACCTTTAGTAGATTCAGAATGTTATACTGTCTATATTAACACCCTTTATTAACACCTTTTTTTTTAGAAGCAGTTATATTTTTATGACAAAAAGCTTCAACAACTTAAACTTACAGGTACAATAATTGCCTAAAAATATGACCATCTACAATGTATTTCTTGAACAAACTTTGTTTAAAACGGATAAATTTGAGAGAATGTTTGAAAGCTATTAGCTTACTGAAACACTCTAGAATCCGTACTTAGCAATGAATCTAAAGTTTCTTGCTCAAGGAAACAATGGCTTGCCCCTGACGGGGTTTGAACCCATGCAGTCAGCAATCCTAAGATTACTAGTCTGATGCGCTAACCACTCGGCCACGCCCCAATTTCAACAATATATTTCTGGTGATAAAAGAATTATTTGAAATAACAGCATTATTGTGCTTTTACAATATGACACTTACAGTCTCTGGTCTGAGCCTTGACTTTCCATGTTATCATCATCATCAGCAAGATAAACAAATTATTCTTCCTGCGTGACATGGTCTTCTAAATAAAAAAGTAAAACATAGTATATAAAACTGATTGGCATGATATGTTATATGTTTCAGTATGTGTAGGCAAATCTGCATCTAAGGCAATGCAAATCACATCCTTTAATGTCTTTTTTATTCATCAATAAAAACAAAATGCTCTGTTCCTACTGTTTGTAGACAAAAGAATCAGTTGATGTAAGTTTTAAAAACCCAGGAAATGTATGTTTTGAGTGATCCAGAACGACTTGAATGACAAGCTGTTTAGATCTATATTTGTTCCTTTGTTTTAAATGAAGGCATTCATATTTTCAAATGACCTTTTCTGAAGTTTTACTGTTTAATGTTTGTCTATTTTTTTAAAATTAAATTAATGAATTTAACTTTTTTTCTTGTTGATTTCTATTTTTTCTTCGTCAGTAGATAATGCAAAAGATTTCGAGAAAACTTTCGTAAGCAGTGTGACAATTCTTGGATATTTAGAAGAGAAAAGAAATGACACCTGTTACTATTAGATTACATGTATGTCATATGAATAGAAATGTAACAATTTGCCACATAACGATTCGCCAAAGAGTTATTACGATTCGCCACATGTTAAAATACAAACTTTTTCACACCTATTTTCTAACTGTTGATCAAATTTTTGATGAAATCCTTTTCTCCATTTTACCTTTCATTTGTTAGTTAAATAAATAATTTTTGAAAATTATACTAAAAAAAGCTTTTATTGAATAAAATCACATGAAAACAAATATATTTTATTACCAAAATTACATAATACATTGTACATTTAAGTTACATACCGTAAAATTCCTATTAAACGCCCCCGGGGGCTAAACATTTTCCAAAAGGGGGGCTATTATTACAACACATTTTTCCTAAATCCAAAAATCATTGAAAATACATTTAGTGTAACATGGGTTGGTAATAACATTAAAATGTGTTAAGATTTTAAAGTTCATGTGGTACATTTTTGTGTTTACTATGAAATAAAATGGATTCTGAAGGATTTGAATAAAATTACGGATTTATTAAAGAGTTCAGATTTTTTTCCATATCAAAAAGCCTGGGGGGGGGGGGCTTTTATTAGGGGAGGGGCGTTTATTAGGAATTTTACAGGTATGTGAATGTAGTTTGTTTGTTTCATTTTACGCCTTTTCCCAACAGTATTTCATCGACTCTAACCCCTCAACCACGGAGGCGGTTTGTAAATGTAGTTAACATTTGTTAATTATATATAAATAAACTTGAAAATTATACTAAAAACAGCTTTTATTGAATATGTTATTCAAATGCCTTTAAACTAGCCTAGTTATGCTATAAACCTCTTTTTTTCTTCTTCTTTTTTTTGTAATAACAGCTTTTGATTTTGATGTAGAAAATGAGTAAGTATTGAAATCAGTGTGAAATGAATATATTGAGGATTGTAACATTGTTTTGAAATCTGCTCCCATTCTCAGAGAATAAAAGGAATATTTTGGCGTCAATTACAGATTTCTATAACAATCCGAAGATAATTGGCTTGTTTAGATTAAAGGTGTTACAAATATTTAAGATATGCAATATGCGTTCTTGAATTAATTATCGTAAATCAATTTTCGTAATGAACACATGTTTTTTTTGGTTTGTTTCTTTTGCTATACTGTACCCATTTTTTCATATTTGACAAATATATTTCAATAAAAATATTAATTGACACATGCATGTATGCGTTTAATTTTATATTTGTTTCAACAAATATTTACTAAAATTCTTGCAATTGTATTCCTGTAATTATGTTACTCAGATAAATTGAAAATCTGAGCTGGGGGCCTTAACTTCATATTACGAATATTAAGAAACATTATTATTGTCTACTCATTTTTAAAAAGTTTGTTGATTTAACTGAACTAGGGCCATTTAAACTAAGAAAGTTATTGTTATAATCATACTGTGGCGAATTGTTATTCAACTGTGGCAAATCGTTATGAGGTGAATTGTTAATGTGGCGAATCGTTACTAATTCATATGAATCATGTTACAACCTAGTCTCATTATTTCGACTGCAAGACGGACCGATATTATAATCTGATATTTCATAGATGTCTGGTGACCATCGTCTATATAATAAAAAGCCCTAAAGTGCATAATTTGTTGGACTAGTTACAACCTTTAAAAAAGCACCCCAAAAATATTTCAAAAATAACGCTTTTCATAAGGTGATTCCGATTGCCTACACTGACTTTATCATTAAAGTTTTATAAATAATTATATGTACTGTATTATGTATATGAATGTCATGATACATAAAAAGATTAACTTTGACAAAAGAAACAGGAGATTACAGCCGTAAATATCATTTCGTATATCCATAAATTGGCAATTAAATTGTACCCAGACTGAACAATATGTAAAAAAATTGTAAACAAATGAACAGCTGAAAAGTGTTTTTTGACAATTTTAACTCTATTATCAAAAGTTTACCTTAATCATTTATTTAATTTCATTCAGGTAAGTTACCTTTTTACAATGTTTTATATCTCTTTTCACTATTGTCCGTAAACCAATCGGTACATTTTACGTTTTATTCAGTAATCAACCAAAACAATATATTTTTCGACGGCAGCCATTTTGATGTCATTATCCAGGTATTTCCTACTACCATTGACCTACTTTACCTGTGTATTTGTCACCTGTATAGGCAGACCTAATCCATAAAATTTAATGCGGAACAAGGGAAGTAATATTTGAAATATTCGCATCAAGGGAGGTAATCTCGAGCGCGCTTATCAAAACCAGTTCTGGAAGTATATGAAGCATAAGATGATATTTGTCAGAATAAATAAAATCTGTTTAGAAATAAAGACTTACTAAGTTAATCTCACTTGGATATTTGTCCGTCTGTCCGCCTATCAGTATGTCTGTAACATTTCTTATGTGCTTTTTTGTCAATATAAATATTACAATATAACACGTTCAGCGTTTGGTGTACTTGTACTTATCTTTTTAGCAAAGACATAAATAACATCTTATCTTTTTATCTTTGTCCATGTATTTAGCATAACTCTCATTGTTATTCCATTCTAATACACAAACACAGTCACTGTCAGCTTTAAACGCACATCTTCTGAATATGTCACGTCAAGGTCGTTGAAAATTTCTTTAATGACTTCATTATTGGTTTAAACATATTTATTAGAGCTCGAATGGGTGACAAGTTCTTGCAAATTATATTCATCCTTTCGAGAGGATGAAAACCAACCAGTACTGATGTCATATGAAGAAACATGGTCGTGACCCAAGTAGGGCTCGAACCGATGATCTCTGGGTTGAGAGGCAGACACTTTAACCACAAGGCGGCTGGCCACCGCTCCCCTTAATAAGTTCATCATTACCGGTTTGAGACTCGTTTTCATTATTTTAAATGATTAAGAATAAATGCCGTATTTAGATTAAGAGTATCGTCAGAATTTGTGTAGAAGCCATGTTGTCTTTCCCGTCCACACGTTTCCGGAAGTTCTGTCAACATCATTGAGTCATGTTCACAAATATACCTTGTTTAGTTTAAACTACGGTAGAATCCATTCTAGATAGTCTGTACCGAATCATTTAAGGTATCATTATTGCAACAACGTCTTTTAAAAATGCCTCGGGTGAAGATTATGTGCATAAATTTAAAAAAGAAGTCTCTCCATCGAAAAGTCATTGAATTTCATTTTTTAAAAATAATGTTTTATTCGTGTTAAATCATCATTGTTTTCAAAACACTGAAGTGCTGTTTTAGCACGTTAATTTAAGCAATCCTTGATTATTATTATCATTTTTTTTATCCATTTTTTAAAGTATGCAACAGTTAATTGACTTCAAATAATTTAATTTTAGTTGTTATATACGTGTATAATATTCAGTTTGTGCTATAATCAAAGCAATTCATTGTGAGAATTGCTTTCTTTATCATATTTTCAAATGTATGTACACGAGTCAATAATCAGGTAGAAACCATAAAATTATAAGTCTGATATGCATGCCAATAATGTTATATTGCTTAATTTGTGTTATTTGCATTTATCCTCATGTTGTATTTGTAATACCTTGAGTCTGTATATCTGTCAATTTAGGTCAAATACTGATTTCCTTGAGGAAATATAATTAACAGCGATTTACATTAATAAACGCAGCAGACACGTGCACCAATTATCAAATAAGTATAATGTATTTTAATAAAAATGCAACAATTACAAATTGATCAATTAAGTTTACCATTTCTACTAATTACTTATCACGCGCAACAATTATTTTATTAACAGAAAGTGTTAATCATAAAATGTGTCGCCACGCGTCACGAATGATTATTATTCTATGTCCATATACCGTAACATTGAGAATATAAATTAGGAAACAAACATGAATTCGACATCAAAGTTGCTTTGATTTTACAAAACCAAACCACTATTATCAAGTTATTGAACCTTAGGGTAGAACTTGAATTCACCAACATTTTAAAAATTCTGACTCAGAGATAATTAACATGGAAAAAATGAAATCAAAGATGGTGTCGATAAAACGCACTGTGAAAAAATTACAACGTTTAAGATCATCGAAAACTCATCAAGAGAATGAAGCATATCTCTGTGACAACATTAATAACAACAACGTGAAGAAAGATTTCTATAACAAAAATATACTCTTCCAACTTATTACACGCATGGGGTGCAAATCATGACCAGTTATGCAAACACTTCTGTACAGTTTGACGAGGGGACGCCAATTTTGCCTAATTTTGTTTATAACACTACATATGTACTCAAAACTACCCCTAGATACACTGGCATCGCATCGTATGTATGATAATTACACAAAACAACCATATTTTGGAACTTTTGGAAATAGATATTACCATTTTAATAAAAGAATTGACAAAAATTGATTACAACGCAGACGGCGGTGGATTCGATTGCAACGCAGTGCGGTGGGCCCGATATCATTGAGGTCTTTTTTAACGTTAAAGTCACTAACATTTAGGAGTTGAGATCCAAACACCAAAAAATACAAATGAAATATATATTTGTTAATCCTAACACATATAGTTGTTATATATATCAATGAAGTAAATATACGCTTTGTTGCATCATGTACCATATAAATACATGTATGTTTTTATAAAACAATCCCTGTTTTAGATCCTAGTTTCACATATTGGGGTGCATGTTAACTATGAAGTGCTTAAATGGTAATTTTAACTTATAAATTGAATTAAAAAATACTTAAAGTTTGTATTTTCTTTATAAACTATGCATTCATTTAACTTATAAAATGTCTTGATAAATTAAATCCCAGTTTGGACACTAGTTCAACATATTGAAGTGACTATGTTAACTATGTATCGCTGAAATGTTAATTATATATCATTAACTCGTATATTGAATTTAATCTATCAATTTAACAAATCAAAATGTTTTTGTAGTTTAACACACAAGAGTCATCATTAACTACGTATTACTCACACATTGGTCATAAATATATTTTGAACTTTATTTTTACTTATGAACAGTTTGTGATATAGAGGATATTTGTTTAGTTCAGTGTAAGATCGGAATATATTTCACCGTGTGAGCACCAAAAGGTATATTTCACGAGTGGCGCAGCCACGAGTGAAATATGAACTTTTGGTGTTCACAAGGTGAAATATATTTCGATCTTACACTAAATTAAACAAATTTTCTTTTTATTATATGCAAAGAAACGTTTTAAAAAGACATTAAACCTAATACTGAATGAAAAGCGCGCCAAATAATAATATAACGTGACGTCATTTACGACGTCACGTCATTAAGTTGGTACCCAGTACTGTGTACGCTGGTATTTCACTGAAACAACGTAAGGGGCTTAAATTCAAAACAGTGAAATTATCAAAGTGATAATTTCACTGTTTCAAACAGTGAAATTACCAGTTTTATATCACTGATATATTTCTATAAACCACCGAAAAGCATGTACTAAAAATTTTAATACATAGATGAGATGAGATGAGATCTGTTGATAGTGACACTAACTTTTAAGCTTTATTGCTTTATCTATTTTTTTTTATTTTATTTATTTCATTTTTTTAATATAACTTTACATGTTAACATTAAATTATATCAAATTTTTTTTAACGTGTACAAAGCCTTAATTGGCTGCATGTAAAATAAAAAAGTATAGAATGCATTTTGAAATAAAATATTACAAAATACCTGACATAAAAAAGGTAGACCAAAATGTTGTTTATTGGCCTATGAGCGAATTGCAGATGCACGCGTTCAAATTATCGTATATTTGTGTTTGTAAATTGTTAAGTCAGAATTTAAATTGTCGCACTTTCGTTTTCGTTGCTTTCACGGTCTGTCGTTCCTCCTTTGGTTGGACAGTTTGGTTGTTTTTGTTGTCCAACTTTGTGTCATCTATTGTTATAACGTTTGCTACAATTGCTTTCTATATGAAAGCGTATTTGAAGTTTCTGATTAATCTTTTGATTATATCATAATCTATTCTTAGACAATAAAGATGTCTGGCTCTGCCAGACATTAACAATCAAATTTCTATGTTTGTATTTTAACTCTACTGAGGATGACACAAATTAACAAGGAGGAACATGTACCGTGGTAAAAGTAAAACATAAATACATTTAAAAACTTTTCATGAAAATAAACATGAATATTGAGGCGTGCTGCTTTAAAATCCTAATAATTGTATATTTATTAATTCCAGCCCATGTACTTATCATATATTTCAATAAAACTTACATATCTGCCGTTTTGAAGAAAAAGTAAATATTTATACGTCAAAAATATACACAAGATAAAAAAATGTGTTAGAAAAAAATCTCACATCCTTCAAATCACCTTGCAATTGATTCTATTTCCAATATTTTCGCATTATCCTTTTGTCAACAGGTGACACGAGTCATCTATTAAACATATATTACTGGTACTTATTATATATTTTCATCATATATGCACCCCATGCGTGTAATAAGTTGGAAGAGTACATATGTGGGCTTCAGTCTCACTAGGTGTTATCAGTAGAACATAAAAACATAACGTACAAATAAGTCATAAACTTACCGACACCAGCAAAAAACTATCCGACAGCCATGTTTTTCCACCGCTTCTGCGACGAAATCTCCATCGCCGCACCGGTAGACCCACCGCTTCTGCGAAAGCTATGGCCAGTGTGTATATTATATTTCGTCATTTGATACATATGAGATTATATTTCTTGCCATTATACTGAGCATGTTTTCAGTTCGACCGGAAAGTGTTTAGCACTCCGTTTGATTGTTCACTTAAAACAGACCAGATCTTTACAACAACAACAACAACAACAACAAACTTAAAAAAATTATTTTGCTTTCTGAACAAATAAACAACAACAACAACACTAAATTTTATTGATTTGACCAGTTACAGATCACCATCATACACATTTCACTAAAACACATGTATTTGTGAAAGTAGAAGTATGAAAATATAAAAAGAAAATAAAAATAAAAGAAAAATATAAAAATACTGGTTCTGGCGCTTCATGAGTGTTAAACTGATGTTCAACATATTAGTTCTTTCCATCATAGGGTACATATAGAATTGTTATATTATCATAGATTTCAATAAATTCGAGCTTCAATTAAGTTGCATGCATAAAGTGTTT